TCATTATGGATATAAAAACAAAATGGTAATATCTTTTCTGATTGTCAGGAAGAAGCTTTCATGTTTTCTTAAATAATTCAGATGAAGGACTCCTTCTTATCTCATTTCTTTGCTCTTCCGATGACTTTTTGAAATGCAACTGATGCCATACAAATAAAACTCTAAAAATGGGAGTAAATGTTGTGTTATTACACTTTAATTTACACAGCCACACATCCTGGAGCTGGTTTATTAAGAAACATCCACATAGTTAAAAAAAAAAAAAAAAAGAAAGTACAAAAGAACATGGAGGTTTTAACATTTCTTTGCATCGTGTCTTCAGAGAATGTCCTCGGGTTCTTCTGCCACTTTATTCATTTTTTTCTCTTCCAGTCGCTTAAATACTTAGCTGATTCCCAAAATGATCACAAAACTAACAATTGTGAGCGCCTCACTTACACCCCTCTGTGGTTGTTTGTGTCACTGCTCTCTTGTCTTTTCCAAATCTGTTAAAAATGAGGAGGGAAAATAAGTTATCAGCAAAGACATTTGCAGTTTTACTTTACAGCTGCACTGTTCTTGTTGTACATAGATAGTATATTTAAAAAAAAAAAAAAAAAAGCTCTAAGGAGGCCCAGCGGACACCTTTAGAGGACATATAAAATAGAATTCAACTTTATTGTCATTGCACTGTCACAAGTACAAAGCAACAAAATGTAGTTTGCATCTATCCAGAAGTGCTATACAGGATATAAATATTTAGAAACAAGTGTACAAAGGTGTATAAACTGAGTAATAGTAACATGCTATTAAATAAAATGTTTTGTACAAATATGAGAGCTATATTAAGATACTTCACAGATAATTTACTATTTTTTATCAGAGTCGAGTCTTGCTAAATAGTCAAGCCGAAGCTAAATCTTAGGCTAAACCATCTTTTATAAAATGTTTTTTCACACATTGTCCCTGATTGAAATAAATGAAACAGATGACTAGGCAAGAAGATTTAGCATTCTTACCAAAAGCACTTGATAACTACTACTTTATTAAGCAGATGTTTACTATATTTTGTAATAAATTCTACATAGTTTATCCCAAATAAAAAAAAATAAAAAAAATTCTCATATTCAGAGCCTCTACAGCTGTAACAACAGTTGAGCAACAGCCATTTCTCAATGTTTTAATACAATATTTGTACACAAAAATCCAGTTCATGCTTTTGGAAGCTGCAGATCTTATTGTTATAAAATGTCTCATTCTTCTTTGAGTCTATGGAAACTTTACAATTTTTCAAACAGACAACAGATAAATGTGTCGGACTGACCTGGATGTAGGCCTCTGACAATGTGATCATCTGAGGGAGAATGTCGATCACCTGCAGGTCTTGCATCTCATACCACTTCCCCGTTCCCTGGTCACACACACACACAGTGTTACACACATAATCATGAAAAATTATTTTGGTAACGCAATATTTGTGATCAGTCAGAACTGAATGAGTTTGGTCCTTGAGTAAAATCCTAAGCGGTGTGAAAGATAATATAAAAAATAGTTCAATGAGGTTTGGAAAATCCCATTGGACGTGCATTTTCTTTTAATGACTGGAGAAACATTCATAAAAAATTATGCCCCCAAAATAAAGATCAACATTTTCAGAAAGACCAGGAACAACATACAAAAGCATGCTCCCCTTGATTTCAGCCAGTAATGTTAAATGTAAATTGCAACAACTTACATGATGCAGGACATGTATTCTGTAGGACCCTTCAGTTGGTTTTCCATCATGCACAATGTTTGCAACAAGATCATAGGAAGTATTCTTCTCTGTCGCTTGAGCTTCCTCTGTGAGGTATTCAGAAAGGTCTACGTTGCTGTGGAAGCAATTGAAATGTCGGCATTAATAAGTTTGTATTTGGCGCAAAAAAGAAAATATATGTTCAACCTATTGAAAAAAAAATAAAAAACAAGTACATGTTTTGTCCCGTGTTTTTTAAATAACGTACGTGATTGGGAAGTTGACAATTGTTGGGTTTTTTTCCACAAAGAAGTTGTTCTTGGTGAATCTTTTGATGCAAAAGATGAGGTAAGGTGGCAACTTGGTCAGCTGGAACCGTTTGAGGAAATTCTCTTTGTAGGTTTTGTATTCCTGAATGTAAAGTGGAAAAGGGTTACATTCTTATTATTAATGCTTGTAGCATTAGTAGGAAAAAGAAAAGCTTTTCTGTATTATAAATGAGGGCATTACATTTCATACCTTTTCAGTATTGCCATTGAATTTGCCAAGGATGTTGAAGAGAGGAACTTGAGGGATAATCAGCTGCTCCTTTTCGTCTTTGTAGAGAGGAGCTGTTGGGAGGTCAAGGGTCAGGAACAGGAAGGTGGACTCTGACATCTGCTCCTGGTACTCCTCTGTGAGAAGCAGCGCCTCCTTTTCTTCAGGCAGCTGTGAAGTTTTGAAAAATGCAAAGCAAATACTGTAACTTGTGTTTATACTGGTAATTAACAAAAATGTAAGTTAGCGTAAATAATCACTTTGTTATTGTTTCCATGCCAAGAAGATGGCATTTACACATTTAAATAACTCAAATACTTCTGCAAACATACCAAATCTGGGTGTGGAAGTTTCTTAGAGAAGATTCGCATGGAGCCTTGAAAAACTTTTGTGATGATTGCTGTGAGGACAGAAAAGAGAAACAACCTATTAACACTCAAAGTAAAACGTTTTCTCAAGACTTCTCCATTAATGCATTTTAATAAGTTCTTCTGATACAATTTACAATTTCTGCTGGAACCTGTACAACATCAATATGCTTCCCAAAATCTTCTGAATCTTCTACTCACATGACTTTTTCTTTGTGCCTCCAAGAGCTCCATGCAGGGCATTCAAAAACCATGTCATGAAGTCTACAGCATCACCTGCACGCAATAAAAGACATCAGCGAAATAACCTCATCCCCAACACCGATAGGTATTAGAAGCCAGGCTGAGTACAGACGAAATACCCTGCTTAGTAATTTGAAATGTTTTCTTGCTGCACAGCACGACGGCCTGCAGCATCTCATGAGGGGACACATGTGCCTTAAAGTTTCTTGGATTCCAAAGTTTGCGCATCAGCTCCCCAAACCTCTGCACCAGGAGAAACATGATGTCCCCTGGTGGTCTGCGGATTCCCTTGTAGTTTTCCTCCTCCAGGAAGTAGTTTCGCAAAGGTGGAACATTTGAAAAAGCCTACAAAGATAAATATAAACTTTTTATAATACTTGATATTATCCCAGCATCAAAATCTAGAAAATCGCAAATTGATACCTGTAGCACCGCGTTGGCGTAGTCATTGGCTTTGATGTTGTTGAGCCCCACAATACCTGGCAGGTAAGTCGTTCCATCATAGGCTCTGTACAGCTTGCCATGCTTGTCCAACGCCCCAATGTGCTGCTTGGTGAAAGTTGGCTTCAGTACATACTGGAGAAGATAATGTGGAAAATTAGTTACGTAACATAATAAATGAGGAAAGACAACAAATTGAACAAATACTACAATGACTCGAAAAAGAAACCTGACAGGAGGCTGTTGCAATTTCACTGACATGTCTATGACATGCTAACAGGTCAATTTCTGAGAAGCAAAGTAAAATCCACAGGAACATGTGCTGTTCATAAGATGCTGGGAAACACTGCTAATCAACCTCTTTTGTTTTTGCCATCCCTCTAAATTTCTATGTGGTCATATGGTCAAAAACCAGGCTGGGAGACAATGGAGTCAGGGATATGATCCTTGCCAATTGTGATGGCTGGAAGTGATGGTTCTCATGGAATCAAAAAGACTCTATAACTTCACTCACCGTAATGTCCTCTAAGGAAGAGTCAATGATCTCATAGTTGTCTGGCAGACAGTAGAACTTGAGGGTATGCAAGTTGAGGAACACGTGATGGCTAAACTGTACACTGTGGGTATATGCATGAGACTTCTGACCTCTGCCTGCAAGAAAAACACAACAGTCAGTCCAGATGCTCTGTCCCTGCAGGTAAGGTTCAGTTCATATCGTATACCTTGAAAGTATTTCCCACATACGAGGCAAGCGTACACGTTGATGTGTGAAAGGGAGATGGAGCAGAGCTTCTCGAAGTCAAAATCCAGCACACTCCTAAAAGACAAACAGAGAGGAAACGGTGTTGGCCAAGGATGGAGATAACTAGCAAGGAGGGCTAGCGGTTGTGCTCATTAAACTCAAGTCTTGCCTGTTTATGGTGTCAAGATAAGGACAGTGGCGGCTTCTACGGTCTTCTCCTGCACGTCCTCGGCCTCTTTTGGCAGCAACTAAAAAAAAAGATCCTTCGTCATTTTTTTTTATTTTACAAAGTAAAAGATTTCTACACATTTCGCTACAACTCAGCTAGCTAAAAATGCTAGCTAACATAGCTTGTAACTGCATAACTATATAAAAATATATATTTTTTAAAAGTGTGCATCTTTATTTTAGACATTAATAATATCTACTATGTCTCCATCGTCCTACTGAACCAAATCGCACATATTATCCAACTCTTATTTTATTTTTAGCTAGCTGTCTAGCTGATGGCTAACAAACGTTGCGCCAACGTTGGAAGTAAACAAACTGACCTCCGTCTTCGTGATCATCGTCATCCTCCTCGACATCTCTCTCGCGCTTCACAGAAATCATCTCATACGTTATTCTGCTGCCTTAATATTACATAAACTCAAAGGATAAAGTTAATTGGGACACATGAATGGGTTTAATCCAAGCACCTCGAAACTCGCGGCGGCTGTGCGTCGTAACGCTCAAGAAGAGCTAACAAAAACTTAACCCGGTGTTGAAATATTTTGTATGCTAAAGTTTAACTGTGTTGTTATATCAGAATCAAAACTGTTTAGTTATTTATACTACTACTATATTATTTTGTATTTAATATTAAACGATATAGGTTATTTTACTGGGGGGTTTTATTTTAGTATTAGTTTCCAGGCTGTGTGAACTCTGGGAATGGTACTATTGGACAACAATTTATGGCAGCTAGCTTGCTTAGCTTTTGTCAGAGCTTTGATTGAAAATTTTTGTAATAAATACGTTATAAATACTGCATTTTATATTAAAACTATTTGACGAAATGGATATTTTAAGAGACGAAGGAGTGCATGAGTTGAAATACAAACCCGGTGGGCGTTTGGACATGAACCACGGCTTCCTTCACCATATCCGCAGGAACCAAATTGCTAGGTAATTTCCTCAAACACTGTTAGCTAAAGCTAATTGTTTACAATATGTACTTTCAGGGTAATAGCCTGACTTTTGACTTTGAAGGTTAAAGATAATATGAAGGGACAGACAAGACCTTGGTCAGTGGTTGAAAACACAAGGCTTAGCATATAAAACAGAATAGAACAAGGGAAGCCTGAGCAGGCCTTGCGAATTCAAGATAAAAGCTGTGAAAATACAGGCGTATAAATTAAGTGGAAATTTTGTGCTTCGAAATAAATGAGAAATTTAAGTAACTTGTTTATTCATTTCAGTATTTTTAAAATGTGAAACTGATGTTTTAAAGAGTCATTGCACACAGTGGTATGTTCAACAAGCCCTTTTAACGTTGATGACTTTACACAGCTAATAAACATAGAATTCAAATTTAACAAAAAATGTTAATTTTACATAAGACAATGAACATATTTCTAATACAGAAATGCTATGCTATGTAGGCAATCCTAGGGAAGGGTCAGGCACTGAAAGAAGCTTGCTGCTTATAGAACACTTTACTGAAGAATTTTAATAGAAAGTTCAGTGCAAGGAAAAAGTAAGGTCTGAAAAATTCCACAGATAAATGTGTTTGTAGGAGGATTGCTGGGGGGAAAAAAACATTCAATAGTTTGGGAGGATTCACAGCATTTGGATTGCAGTCAGCGCTACAAGAGCAGCTTTCACAGACTTATCTGGGACATGGGCTACCACTGTCACAGCCCTTGCACCTGTTATTTCTGAACTACAGTATTATCTGAAATATCTTACCCTGACTCAGGAGATAAATGACTCAGCTGTTGTTCAGTGGTCCAGAATCCCCTTTTAGAAAGAAATTTGGAGAATTTTGTGTTTTGGTCCCAGTGTTTGGAGGAACAGTGCACAGGCACCTAATATAGGGATCGGTGATGTTTCCATAGTCATTGATGGAAACGTCAGTGATGTTTCCAACAGATAAAACATGTCATCTGTTGGTGTTGGTACACTTTTATTTTTACAAGGACAGAACAGTCATCTACCAAGGGTTCTTACAGCACACAGTACTCCTGTGGAGGTTTGTAAGGATGCTGATTTAATTTCCCAGCGACACTGTTAAAAATAGCAATACATGTAGGGCTAGGGTTAGGTTTTAATGGTCCCACTAAAATTAAATAATTGTGTAAAGAAGTATTTACTCTAGGAAGACAAGTTTAATTTAAATTTTAACTAAATGAAACACTTACTTGTTTTAATTTTGATCAAATGTTCATTAACATTGTTCATGTCTTTTTTGTGTTAAGAGATGACTATGATAAAGAAGTAAAGCAAGCTAAAGAGCTTCAGCGGCGGAGGCACACAACAACCCCTCGAAGGCCTCGTCGACCCGACATCCAGGTGTACCATCCGAAACAAAGGCGTAAGTCATCTGTGATGTTTTTTCAGGGTTTGATGGTGACTACACCCAGAGAAAGGCTAAAATGATTTTTGATCATTTTTCAGGTGGCTCAGAACCAGAAACTGGTGCTGATCCCGAAGAGTGGAACGAGAGTGGGTCGAGCACAGAGACTGAAATCCACAGGACAGAACTCTTCTGGCTCGACTATCAGGAGGACTCTGGAGTCATCACTTCTTTCTTGGTGCACAAGGTAAACACTTTTGCCTGAAGGTATGTCACTTTGCTTGTTGCTTTGGCTTAAATTTTCTCCCGTTCTTTCTGTCTTTGTCAAGGAGGATAAGCCTGAGAAGGTGGTGGACCGTGTTTCAGAGAAGAACGTATTGGATGCTGCAATGAGGGCAGCTTTGGAGGTTCGAATTCGAAAGGAAATTGATAAAAGACGAGACAACCGGTGATGGGGACAAAGCTGTAACAGTCACGGTTATGTGCTCCTGCTTTTTTGTGGTTTGAGCGCAGGGAGGATCCTGCTGTCATTCACAGTGACACTCGGCAGAGGTGACCTGAAGACAAGCCATGTGTTGGTGAAGGAGGAGAAAGAAAAGCACCTATCAGGTTCACATGAAGATCAAATGAACATGTTCTTGGTTTTATTTGTTTACAAAAAGAAAAAAGAAAGAAAAGATTGTTGTCATGGAATATTAGTGTATAACCAATGACTTGGTTCTGAAAATGAGAAGTTTGTCTTGTTTTGTAGCGGCCACAATGTGGTTTAGGTGGTAACTGTTTTGTAGTTTCCAGTTGTGTTATTTATTCTGAGTTGTGAAAATACCAATATTTTTGATACTATGACACATTTTGACAGCTGAATTTTTTAAATAAAAGATTACATTAGCTTCAAAGCCATTTCTAGTTTTCCAATAGTCATGATAATGTCCCCTGTTATTAACTCACCCACCTTTTGCTGTGACTGCATTCATTTTGTCGAGGTGACATTTTTCCAGGTTTCCTTCTGAGAAACAAAAGCTCTGACTAAAGAAATGTTCTTAAATGATTTACATAAAATCCTCAGCAGATGGCAGCAACTGTCAGTTTTACAACTACCCTGCTTCTTGTTTACTGTCGCAAACTATTTCTATAATTGCTTGTCAATTTTTGATCTCTAGGTCTTGGTTAAGACCTAGAGATACATTTCCTTTTACTAGAACTTGTATGTAAAATGTAGAGTGAAGGTGATGGCTTTTAGATTGTTTCGATTAAAAAAAAATCCACCTTTTCTCTGACACTCCTGAATAAATCTTTTAACACATTTTGGAGACTCCTGATTAGTAACTCTTGTATATTATAATCTCAGTATGAACCCAGATGTTCTGTGAGGGAACATTAGCAAACAAACAGAAACATGAAGGACAGATATTTTTTATATTTTAAGATTTTTTAACCCTGGTCCTCAGGAAGGATCTGCATCAACAATAGAATGATTTAGGAAGGCATGAGAATGGCCAAGTCAAAGTACAGACCTAAATTTAATTTAGAGCTTGTGTTACTAAAAATTACTTGTATGCTACCTTCAATGTGACTGAATTTGAAATATTTGATCAAGAAAAATTGGCAAACATTTCCGTCTATTCAGCTTACAGACAATTTTGTAAACATTTCAGCTGTAATGGGGATGAAAGGTGGATCTGCAATGTATTGAGTTAAATGTGCACACTACGGATTTTTACTATCAAAAATAAAATTGGACATCAAACCATCCATTCACTGTTCAATGCTAAGCAATATGCACAAATTATGGAACATGTTACTGTGACAAATTCAGAGTGTTCATGTTCAGCTCAAAGTTCAAAATGTTATTAGAGGCTTTCCTTATATTTTACTGTCCATATGTACATTTTAACCAGATCTATGTGTGAACTTTATCCCTCGATGAACAGTGACAGTTGGGGTGATGATGTTTTCACTCTGTTTGGACCTTTTGCACAGGGTGATTAACGTTTGTTTTCGATTTTGATCAGTGCCAGATCCAACAAGCTGAAACCAGTCAGGTACATAATAAAAGACGTAACTCCAATCAGTTACTCCAATCCTTCCCCCTTGAACACGTGTTGTTAAGCAGAACAGTGAGTCACCTGCAGAAAATGTGTAACCACCGCAACTCTTTTTCAATTAGAAGAGCAAATGTGATGTGGGGACAGAATAAAATGGTCTTACCAGGTCTTAACCAATGAACACCCTCCTTCTGTGACGCTATGCTGTTTTCTAACACCATAACTGCCAGCTCTGACTGTCAGCTATTAAATCTGTATGAAAATGTTTGGTGACCATAATGACGGTAAGTAAAGCATAACACCATTGAAGACATTTTTTTTTGTTCCCTTTTACTTATTTTTCACTTATGCAATGTGATATAACAACTTGCAGCACAGAACTATGTTTTTTATTTGTTTGTTGAAACGCAAAACTAATAAAACTGTGTTTAAAAAAAAAAAAAAAGAATAGCAAATGTAAAATATAGTTTAAATAAGTGAACATAGATAGTTCCACTACCATCAGCGAACGTTGGAAAAGCACGAGGCTGATTTCACTTTCTGGCAGCGTTGATTCAAACTGTGGAAGTAGATTAACTCATTGTTCCATTAATGCCTGAAAATATGCAAACTTCATCCTATTGCCAGGATGTCAGGATATGTTATGTAAAGCTTTCCCATGGTAAGAGAATGAGATCTGCAAAGCCATTGGACGCATCAGCCACACTCCCCCGGTGGACCGTTGACGCCCTTCTCTGGTTCACTTTTCATTCCTCCTTCTGCACGTGACTAAACTTAGACCAGAGGAGGCTCAGTCACATGTTCTCTGCTCTCACCTAATCAGTCCCGGTTTTACAGCTTCTCAGTTGGTTGAAAATAACCCAATCACACATCACCAGTTCTCAGTGACTGCCAGTTTAATATCATACAAGACAGGCGATTCATAACCGACGTCAAAGCACTTGTGTCAAAGTGTGTTTGTTCAAATGTAAAACCTATTCCTCTAGCAAATCTCTGTACATTCTGCTCTCTTCCTGGTGTAACCTTTTTGTTGGTTAATTTGTTGAGTTATCTCAATAAAATGAATTTCAATACAAAGGTAAACATTTGAAGCAATCCTACTATATAAGTGAAATTCATTTGTAGATTTGTTACACTTTTAGAGCTTGCTTTGGTCAAATTTGATAACCAAGGTTTCCACTTAATGAAAACCATTAGGAAATTACAGATAGGGTATTTTTAGTAGAGAACTTAACTCAATAAATGGTTCTGGCTCCTTTTGCTTTAATTATTGCATCAATATGTCACAGTCTGAAGATGATCTGCTGCAGTGAGGTCTTGGTTCGTTCAAGAGCGACATAGATTTGGGTCATCCTCTACTTGATCTTTACTTCACAGTCCTCAAAGCTGTGCACCTTTTTTTTCCAATCACACTTTTTCTTTCCACTCAACATTCACTTAGGATTCAGAATAGTAAAGTCCTTGAAAGGATGGTTGTTTGCACTCTTGAAATCAAGTGTTTCAAGAGTGTAAACAATCATTTGAGTCAGATCAAATCTGCTATCCTGAGCATCTAACAGATGTGAATACTATACTAAGAATTAATAGGGTCAACAGATTCAGCTACTTTTCAAATGACCACATCTCAATTTTAAAACTGCTGCTTCAACAAATAAGACAAATCAGACTTTTTTTCCCCCTCTGTGCCAAACAGAGGAGTAAACTACGAGTTTGCTTTTAGTTTCCTGTCCCCCAAAAATACAATAGAGTGGCAGCAATCTCTGGCGGTATTGCATCAGCTGTCACCTAATCTGTGTAATAAATCTCACTGCCCTCAGCTAAACAGGCAACCTTCTGCCCTCCACATTCAACCTGCTGCATTGCATTGGGGAATAGCACACATATCTGGAGATGTTATCTCTGCAGTCCACAATAGTTGTTAACCTCAGTCATTTTACCTGGCTTTCTCCATGGCTGGTTTGGTGTTGATGTGTCAGGATACTGCAAATGGTGCCCACTTTGTTTTGGGAAAGTTCTCCGGGTTTTTCTCTGAGGCCACACAGAGCAGATCATAGTATCTTCCTCTTCCTTAATAAATTAGAATATTACTTAAAAGTCCATTTATTTCAAGAACTTTATCACTGATGGAAACACATAATGTAGATGAATTATTCACAGATAGATGTCTGAAAGCCTTTATCGGTGTTAATTATTACGATTTTTTTACTTACAAATAATGGAAACTTGACATTTAATTTGAATATTGCATCATACCAATAAAAAACATTTTATAATACATAAAAGTGGGATTAGAGAAAAGTATGCTTAACACCTGCTTACAAGTTTTTATTTTCCAAGGATTATTTTAATTTGATGAGCAGGCCTTATATAAACACATATTCTGGTTTATTGAATACTAACTGCGTACTACTCTCAGTCAACCAGAATGAGAGTGAAAAAGAAGGATCTTTATCAGTGCGTCCCTTGTGAAGGCTTTACACGAAGTTCTAGATAAACTTCAAGAGTGTTTCAGGAGCGCGTATCAGTGGTATCTGTTGTAGTGGTGAGGAATGTTGTCCGACACGCCGGCCAAGCAAGCCATCAGTGTCAGTTAAATATAGCCATCAGAATGAGCCAGTGTGGGGAAAGAAAATGCACCCCTGCTGTAACTGTCCTTCACGGTGCAACTGGAGCACGACAACCATCCGCTTCATGTACTATAGGTGTGGCAGTGTGTCGTAGTTTGCTGGAGTTTTTGTTTCTGTTTAAAGTTTTGTCACGTTCAAAACGCAAACCTTAACGTGCAATACAAAGTACTAAATGTTATTTCAAAATATTTTACAAAATTTTGCATGCATTTTTATTCACCTTCCTTTTGCTCTGATAAGCACGTGCAAAAATGTCCGTTTCTGCATGTCCAAAGCTTGTGAAGACAAAATGCTCACTTCATTCTTTATGTACTTTATTAAGTGACCTTTGTGTTGGTCTATCACATAAAATCCCAAAAAATACATAAAAGTTTATGGTTAAAACAAAACTTTGATGTTGTAACTCTTGACAACATCCAAGAGTTACCTAATCATTTCCCCAAAAAGTCAGTGACAAGCACTGACTTGAAGTTCTACAGGTGTTTAAAATATCAAGTATTTTCTGTTCTGGTTGTCTGGAGAAACTAAGATATTTTCCCAAAGCAAATCTTTCCCCTGAAATGTTTTCCACAACGGTTGCCTCTGTTGGTGCCCTGGGCGATCAGTGGTTTGTGGGACCAGCCCAAACTTGTCAGAGCACATTTCAATTCTGCTTCACCCAGGTATCAATAACATGTACTCTTTACTCACTTCACTTAAACATGTCATGCCAGATTTTCTGTGCACTTTGATAATTTCTAGCTTAACTTTTTATATGAGTTTGGATCTTGGATGGTGTTTAAATTCTAAGGAATATATTCTTGGACGGTTTGCAAAGGAGCCAAAGTTATAAACTCCTGAGTTTTTCTTAGTGGTGGACTGAATCAGCACTAACTGCCAAATGTTTTCTAAGAATTTTTGAGAAGATAACTTTCAGTGGTATTCACGTTGTAATGACCTCAAATATATTGATGGGTACTGAAAATGTGATCTTATGATTACTGGAAAAATCTTCACTTATCAATGGGCATGTCAGATGTTCTTCAAATCTGATTTAGGCAAGTTTTAACAACCTTCTCATGCAGAAAAATATAGTGTATTGATCTTCTTCATGTCTTAAAAAGCATTGTTTTATTTGTACAATCAACTTCCTTTACAGTTGCTTCCATGAAAAATATTTTGAATCAATTTTATTTTTTGTATTCAAATGTAATTAACTTTTATATAGCCGTGAAATTAACTGAAGTGCGTTGTAATCTCAGTATGAAAGGATTATACACATTTTTAGTATGAAATGTAATGCAAAATACACAAAGGTCAGTTTCTTATATTAAATGAGAAAAGCATCATTTAAAAAGAATAAAATGCTTGATCAATTTCAGTAGTTAATATTTTGTACCATTCTTGATGAAGAATGTGCAAAACATCACGACAGAAATCAAACACTTTGGATGTGCTGGATCTAAAACATCTCGTCCTTTTAAAATAGCCTTCAGATAATCCTTACTTCATGTGGGAAATAAAATTATATTCTAATGCCACGAGGACCAAGCACATAATGCAATTATTTACTGCTGAAACATTTTTTTGTTTGTTTCCTATACACTCTTGTACTTGATTCAACTGTCCATTTTATTGTAATAAATGCTTGCA